GAGTGAAACATATATTGAGGAGATATATATACACACATACAGAGAGCATGAACAGGTGGGAATTGTCTTACCAATTCTGAGAGGCCAATTAAGTAAGAGAAAAAAAACTTTTGAAGTGATAATCAAGATAGCTCAGTACAGACAGTTTGATAAGAAGCAAGTGTGAGAATACTTACAAGGGGAGATAGATTCAATGTTTGTAATGGCTCAGCCATTCCCAGTCCTTATTCAATCCTGAGTTGATTGTGTCTAGTTTGCATATCAATTCCAGCTCAGCAGTCTCTCGTTGGAGTCTGTTTTTGAAGTTTTTCTGTTGTAAGATAGCCACTTGCAACATGCAGAACATGCAGCATCTTGTACCTTATTTCAGAAACTACTGTTTCTTCAGAACGTAATTATCAAGGGAAATATAGAAGGTCAAATTCATCCATAGTGTAACTCATTTGACTTCAGTGGCGTTACAAAGTGATGAATCTGACCCAATAATTTGGGAGAAAATTATTATTAATGAAACCCATTGTTGTTGTGCATAGTGCTTTACAAAAATACCCACCATAAAATCCAATTAAACCCATTTTGAAAAACTCCAAATATGAAATGATTGAGGGGTTTTTTTTTTGGTTGGTTGTTTCCCTCCCTCTACCCTGAGCCTTGTGGACTGTGTGGAGGCAAATGTCCCTCCCCCAAGGGACAATGATAATAAACAACATCTACAGAACAGCCTTTACTGACCATTTTTACTCAGGTGAAACATTTGCCCCATGTAACAGGGTGGCTTGCCCATGGACTGGACAGCCTGGGGCTAAGCCAGCACTGATTACACAATGTGACTCAACTGGCAGGAATCAAAGGATGCCAATATAAAAAGCAGCAGGAAGCTGCAGGGGTGGGTATGGACAGAGGAGGGGAGACTGAGTGCTAGGCATCTGCTGAGTGGAATAAGGTCTCTGTGGATGACAGGGGTGTTGGAGATGAGTATGAACTATGGGGCTACTATGGTGAACTTTGTGTTTGGGGCACTGAGATTATTTTAAATTAGGGCTATTGACCCAGTGTCCGTGGAGTCCTGGTGATAGTCCTTAGAGAGACTATATGCTGTTCCCAAGGGCCCCTGAAGAGAGGAAGGGCCCTGCCACGACACCTCTGGCCATAAGGTGGTGCCTGGGAAATTGCACCCATGCTACACCAGAGAACTGAACAGGATCATAAACACAAAATGGCTAAAAAGCTATGCAGATCATATTAGTGTGCAGTATATGAGATTGTACTTGTGTTAATGGCTCATAGAGAGAAATTGTAATTTACTTCCACAGTAGCTTCCTAGCATTGTGGTAACAGCATGACAAATGAAAGGTGACAATGAGAAAATTTTACATTCTCAACCTCACTTTCTGGTATGCTAAAACACCTGGGGCATTGAAGCAAGGAGAGAAAACAAGCTGTGAGCTTTCTCTACCACAACCTCTTCAGTTTGCTCTTCTATAGTCACATATAGCCCCCATTCTTTTCTTGCTTCCCACTGAATGCTGCCCACCTCTCTTCACAGTGGGTCAGTGGTTTGCTCCAGGGATGCTCTATATGAAAGCATAGACTTTCTTTTTATGATGACATTACATCTCCTTTCTCCATTAGTACAATTGTGATCAGTGCTCTTATTTCAGAAATGCTAGTTAAATGTACAATGTAATTCTAGAAGACTAACTCACTTGTCCCATTGATCACACTATAACCTTTCTCTTTCTTTCTGTAATACATAAGTTCTTTCCCTACACTTCTCAAGATACAGTTAGGTTTATTTTACTATTTTTTTCAGGTTGGAATAAAATAAATGCTATTGTGTTGTCTTATTAAGTATCATTAAACTTTGCCTTTATGCTTGTCTCAACCGACTAAAAGACTGCATTTGCTTTTGACATGTTGTGCTTTCCAGCCATGGTTATGGACCACTCAGAAAGCTGTATTTGTCCCAGAAGTCCCTTTTTAGCTCAGGGACTAAATCAGAAGTGCACACATTGGAAGTTCTATTTTAGTCCTACCCCACAGGCCAGAAGTCTGATTTTTGCCAGAAGACTTTTTCCTTACCAATAAGAAATGGGTTTTGATGTGGAGGTATCTTTGATTCCAATAGGCCAGTTTTATTAAAAGAAGGGTACTGCTGAAGGTACAAAACTTAACATGTTGTTTATATTATTTAGTAGAGTTAGTGAATGTAGGTTGTTAGCTAAGGTTGTCTAAGCTTTTCCATTCCAATTTTTTTAACTGTTTATGATCTTAGTCAAACTTTGAGTCTGAAAGTTAGCAGGTCTTGTCTGTCTTGTTTTCTTTCTCTTTTTTTAAGTTGAGGTAAAACTACTTAGCCATTTGAGTCTGAAGGCAGTGAGGGGAAAATACACTTTTACATTATACAAGAAAAATTCAGAGGTTTTTAAAAATAGCTTCGGAGACTCAGTAACAGTTGGTAGAAATCTGGCACAGAGTAAGATATCACCTTTAAGTGGTCTGATCTGGTGAAAATTCATTTTGATATGAGCAAGTCATAATGGTTAAAAACCTATTTCACCTATGCACACTAATTCTACCCTAACACAATTTTTTTGTTTTTAAATAACCTTCCCACTGTTCTGTCACTGCTTCTTTTGTGCTAGCAAACTGAATGGAAGCTCCAGTCTTTGAAAGAACATATGGAACAGCATTCTATATGATGACTGAAGACACCTATGGAATGAGCCAGGGCAACATAGGAAGCCTTTTATGTTTGAAGGTGACTATGGAATGAGGCAGGGCTTATAAAAGGTTTTACCTGAGTGTGCGCCTTCTTCAGGACCCAGCACTCTACTGCTGTCTAGAAAGTATTTCCACTTGAGCACAATGTACTTAGATTTGAAACATGATTAAAATCCACAGTATTGCACAATTTTTCATCCAAAATCTTAAACATTTCCCTGAGGAGCCTTTCTCTAGAACCTTCTGGTTAGAGGCATATGGGGTGTCACCAGACTCCACTGTTCTGGATAGCTAATCTGGCCCACTGGGTAAGGTAAAGAGTCAGAAGCGGTTCTCTTTAATTGTACCCACTGGGAACAGAAATGTCTGCAATGACACCATGAGTTATGCAGGACTGTAGTGAGTCAGTACTTGGATGAGAGCTTGCTAAGTGGTTGGCTGCTACTGGAACTGTTATGTGTGATTCAGCAATATGGATGGCACTCTTCATTCTGAGTCACTTCTGAAGCAGAAGGCACTATTGGATGAGATGTAAAACTGATCCCTTTTGTTTATTAAAGATCTCATACCACAGTTTGAGGGCTGCTGACATAGGTGGCTTAGTGTGTCTAATTCCAACTGTTAATTACATTCTGGTGACCTAAATTTCCCCACGGTTCTTATTGGATATATTCCCTTGCCTACAATTCTGTAGCTTTGCTGTGTGCTGCCTCTGCATTTCAGTAGTGGATGAAGTGATCCCTGTGAATAATTTGTATTCCCTTTTATAAAGGGCTTTAGGAGGAAAGGTGATCTTTAAATATGAGTATCCTATACCTGGCTTGCAGCCCTGTACTGATGAATGATTATACAAGAGATAAATTATCTGGGGAAAAGCCTTTCTCTCCTACAGCTCCCCACACAAGGGGGCCTCTGAGAGCTGTGGTAATATAAATACCAAATAATAATAATGAGTCAGAACCATATTAATTTCAGCGGTTCTCTCCTCTATCACTATTCACTATGGCAGATATGATTGCTGACTGCTGTCAGTGAAAGTCTTAGTGACCCTTACTCATGAATGTAGTGACTTGTTCTCTTTTGCTCTGAGGCTACGTCTTCACTACCCGCCGATCCGGCGGGTAGCAATCGGTTTATCGGGGATCGACTTACCGCGTCTCGTGAGGACGCGGTAAAATCGATCCCTGATCGCTCTGCCGTCGACTCCGGAAATCCACCTCGACAAGAGGCGGCAGCGGAGTCGGAGGCAGCGCGGCAGCGGTCGGCTTTCCCCCGTCCTCACCACCAGGTAAGCCGACCTAAAATACGCAACTTCAGCTACGGTATTCACGTAGCTGAAGTTGCGTATCTTAGGTCGGAACCCCGCTGTAGTGTAGACCTAGCCTGAGAGAAAGGGGTTGAAGTGTTCATTCCAGCGCACGAAGGAGCTGTGGAGAGATGGCTGGCATTAAAGGGCTGATTACGGTGGACTGAATTACAAATTTCAGAGTAGCAGCCGTGTTAGTCTGTATCCGCAAAAAGAACAGGAGTACTTGTGGCACCTTAGAGACTAACAAATTTATTAGAGCATAAGCTTTCGTGGGCTACACAAATTCTTTTTGTGAATTACAAATGTTGCCTATTTAACAGCAGCAACAGAGTTAATGCAGCAATCGGGAGCCAGTCGCTGTTGCTCTCGCATGCTAGGAAAAGGAAGGGTGGATTTATGAAATGGGCGCCCGGGCGCCCAAGGTTTGCTATGGCTAGTGCCTGCCAGGTTTGCCCACCCCAAATACTAACACTGCATCACCCGTTAATGTAGGGAACCAGCATCTTTGGGCTGCTGCTTTCTCCCATCCCCGCCTCTTCATGGGCTGGAGGCTGAGGAGTTGCGGAGATCAGACAACTCGCTGAGGAGCCTCTTCCAGAGGTGTCCCCGCAGGCACTGCCGCGTGTGCCAGGGCTGCGCGGAGCCAGTCTACCGCCAGGAAATCCCGGGGAGAGAGGAGGCGCAGACGGCGGGGAGGGAGCAGCGGGGCTGGCGGGCGGAGGAAGCAGGGAGGGGGAAGCGGGAGACCGTAAGGCCGAGCAGCAGGAGGAGAGGAAGGGAGAGGGCAAGAGGAGGGAGTGGTAGCTGCCTGGCAGAGGGCACAGAGGGGAGGACGGGAGCGGCGCCCCGCGGGGTCTCGGCCCCCTGGCTGGCTGGCGGAGGCGGGATGCGGTGCTGGCCGCGCCCGGGGCGCTGGCACTGAGCGGCGGGCGCTGGGCTGCAACCGGGCAGTCCCGGGGCCGACAGGATGGGATGCGGGGGGAGCCGAGCCGATGCCATCGAGCCGCGCTACTACGAGAGCTGGACCCGCGAGACCGAGTCCACCTGGCTGACGAACACCGACACCGAGCCCCCGCCGCCGGCCTGCGGCCACGAGAGCGCCCGCGCCGAGGCCGGACTGCGGGACCAGGGCGCGCCGCACCCGGGTGAGTGCTGGGCTGGGCTGGGCGGTCCCCGGGGCCGCAGCCAAAGCCCCTCATCTCCTGCCCCGCTCCCCTCCCTCCGGCTCGGTCCCCGGGGCGAGCTGGGGTCCCCCGCCGGCTCTGAGCTGGGGCGGGTTGGCTGGCCAGCCATCGTCCCTCCTTCCCTCCGGAGCCTAGGAGCGGGCACAGCTCCGTAGCATCTGCCCCGGGGGAGCTTCGTGTCAGTGAGCCGCAGACCCCGGGCCAGCAGGACAAGCGTCTTTGAACCAGCGGCTCCGGCTGATCTGCTGCGAACCTGGCCGGCAAACAGCATCTGTACATCGCGATGAGACAAATGCGAGGGGTCGGGGAGATCTCTTGTTAAGGCTTCCTCCTAGCGATCTGTGAAGTATGGGCCATTTCTGTCTCTCATGAGTATACCACGGTATTCCCCCAGTTAACCTAGCCCCAGTTATTGGAAATTCCCGCTGAAGCCTAACATCTGGCACATAGAAAATGTCCTCACGTATGTGAAACACCAGTTATTTGAATCCACCATCCCCAGGATGGACGGACAAACGGTCTGTCTGAATCTCTTTATTGTTCTGGGAAGAGTTTAATCAAATGCGTGGACACGGGTTTGCAACTAGCACCAAAGCGGTATTATATATAGTCTATTTCTCTTTTTTCCCCTTGGGAAAAGATGCTTTTTTACGCCTATTAGGAAATGCAGGTATCTACGTCTGCACTTCTAAAACTTCGGGTTTGTACAGCAGCACCGCACCGTGTATCAAAAAAACCCTTCACTGGTCTCATAACCAATATAGTTTCTTGTAGTTTCCAGTGGACATGGAAAAGGAGGAACTTTCACATTCCTGCACGTTTATTAGAAAAAGCTTGTTCTCTACCTACCACACTTTGATAATGATGCTTAATTTTTTGAGGGAGAACATATAAATGGCATTAGTTTTGTGATAATCCCACTGGAAGAGAATGTGGCTATATGGTCTCTTGGTGCAGAATAAATGACCATGCAAAACAAGGCACTGAGGAGTATATTTTAAAAGTGGCACAAATCAGCCAACCCTCCCTTCCTTAAAACCCCTCTGAAAATAAAACTCAATGGACCATGACATTGCAGAAAATGAAATTGACCTAACAGTGTGAAATAAGGCAATGGGCCTGCAATTTTGACTTTTTATTTTTAACATTTGTCACATTGTTAACTAGCAGTGGATCTAAGAATTTGCAATGGGGAAAGAAAGGGGAGGTGAGATTCAATATGCAAGTCTTAGATAAATTAGATTCTCAGGGCATTTCAATCTGCCTATGGAATCAAAGACGAGAGAGAGAAAACACTCAAGTTATTCTTCTGTTTTTCTGGCAATCGGGGATTGTTCTTACAATACATTTTTCTATATTGTTGGAGTTGTGTTGGTCCCAGGATATTAAAGAGACAAGATAGGTGAGGTAATACCTCTTATTGGACCAACTTCTGTTGGTGGGAGAGACAGGCTTTCGAGCTACATGGAGCTCTTCTTCAGGTCAGCTATTACTTCACCCACCTTGTCTCTCTAATATATATTCTAGTGTTTTGTCCACTCAAGTTTTAAATGCTCCAACTGATGGAACTACCACCACCTCCTTCAAGATGGTAAGTTCTTGGGATGATGTGCCAATATGTGACAGGGTTGCTGCTCCTACTACATTTTAGGTATTATCACAGTACAAATACTGCAATAATAATAATAATAAGAGTTAACTTAATTCTATTGGGAGACTATTTCTTAGCTATATCTCACTGTCAGGAATTTGTCCTAATATTCAAACCTTGGTTTTCCCTTTCTTGGTTACCCTGTCATTCCTAGTAATACTCCCATGTACCACAATAAATAATCTATCTCCTTCCTTGGTATTAATATCTGTCAAAAATATTTTCAGAATGCTAGTACATCCTTCTTTCTCTCTGCCAGTATATTTAGCTCTATTTATGTACTTGCACTATAGATAAATGGGTGTGTAGCCAAACCTATGATATTTCATAACATTTTGGCATAACTTTTTATTAAATAAAATCGCAATTCATTATTGTATGTCTTTTTTTTAATCTTCTGTCCCCCTCCATATTTCACCTTTCCTTTCTTCCTGTTTTAGTTTATTTTCTTTAGATTATTTATCAGTCTTTTTACATCTTAACATGAATGTTTAAATAAACTAATAAATTTCAACATCTCTGTATTTTTCACAAGAGTAAATACAGAACAATATTAATTGTTATAAACCAGTAAGGGAAATATTGAAAACTGTAAAAGAACAGATCCTTTGTGCTCTGACCAGGATCATAACAGAAGTCAAATATACTCAGTAGCAATTCACGAAAGTCCAAAGCTGAGCCTTTGATAGCACCAAACAGCCTCGCATATTGAAGAGGGAGAGAGAGATAAAAATACAGGTAACATTATGAAGCAGTGCAGGTGATGAAATTGAAAGAAACCTTTTAAAGGACAAACTTGTCTAAACTTAGGGTGAGTGGTTTCCAGGAGTGAGAAATGAGATTTTCTAGCAGAACACTGATAAGAGCTTCCATTTCATTGTGTAAGCTAAGAACTTGTCACAGAATCTTTGTTTCCCAAGCCTCTGCTCGGGCTATAGTTGGTCATAATAATAGTACTATTTTTCCATAGAAGCACATAGGGCTTCATCATGCAACTCCTTACACTTGGTTCTCCTCACTTTAGTTTCCTGATTGACTTCAGTGGAACTGCAGGAGTAAGGGTTTACAGGATCAGACTCAGTCACCAATAGGCTAATCCCCCACAAGAAAACCACAGGATAAATAATTTTCAAATAACCACCAAAACTGTAATGTCTCAGTTCATATTTATGAATAACTTGCTGCAAAAACTGTGATAAATATCTAGTGTAAATGTAAACAGTCTATTAACTACAAAGCACAAACCCCCATCAAGAACCATTAAGAGGTCCATTAACTAAATTACAGCTGAAACCAAACTCAGTATTATTGCTCAGAGGTAGCTTCTTTTAAGTCATTCTATTCCCACTCTCTCCTAAACCAGCAGCCATGTTAAACTCAGTGTTTGCTTATTCCAGAAAATGACTTTGACTAATAAAACAAAATGTTGCCTCTTGCGCAAAAGGTCATATAGTCATGATCTGTCTCTTTTGATTGACAGCTCCTCAGGGCAGATACTGGCTCTTACTATGTGTTTTTACAGCATCTAGCACCATGGGGCCCAAATCTTGTCCGAGGGTGCTGCTGCATTATAAATAATAATTCATCTTTAAATGATCAAGAAACTAAGTTAAGAGCACATCTATTGTAGCAGAGCTGAAAAGCTGCACATTGATTGACTCAGAACTCTTATTCTGTACCCCAAACACTAGTTCATTGATACAAGTAAGACTTATTTTTAATTTCTTGAGTAATTTTGTTGTTTGACTTGAAAACAAATAAACCTTTCTGTATTAGGTTTTGTATACTTTACAGTTGTAACATATCAAAGAACATTATCCACAGTATATTTTATGCAAATCAGCCTGACATCCTGTAGAGCAGTGGTTCTCAAACTTTTTTTTCCATGGACCACTTGAAAATTGCTGAGGGTCTCAGTGGACCACATAATGATCTTTCCAAATGTTGTTTGTACTGTTAGCTAATTATTGTAAAGCACTTTGGATAAAAGCGCTATATAAAAGAAATCTTAATTAACGTTTTTTTGTTCTACAAATAAAAACACACAACTCATATTAATATCAGTAGTCGTACCTTTCTAATGCGATGGATGTGCCCTCTCTCCTCCACCGCAGCAGCTCCTAAGCTGGGGCTGGGAAGGAGCGGGGGGTCTCTCCCCCACCACAGCAGCCACAGAGCTAGGGCTGGGAAGGAGGGCCGTCTTGCCCTGGCAGCCGCAGTCCTGGAGCTGGGGAAAGTAGCCTTTTTCTCTGGCCGCCGCAGCCCTGCACATCCCAAATTCCCTCCAGCCCCTCTTCTGACCCCACTGCCCCCTCCCACCTACCTTATTCCCCCCAAGACCACCACCTCACCTTACATGTGCGTCTTCTCCAGGGTCCAGGCACCTAATTAGTGGAGCCATGCCTGCGCAGCTCCACTAATTAGGTGGGTGGACCTTCATTCTCTTGTGTGCGGCTGCCCAGGCACGCACCTTAGAAGGAACTATCCACAGACCACCTGAATGGAGCTCATGGACCACTGGTGGTCCACGGACCACAGTTTGAGAACCTCTTCTGTAGAGGAAAACATTTTCATGACATTAGCAAAGGTGTCTACTGTCAGTGGGCAGTCACAAAAAATAGACTTATTAGCAGAAAAATGTATATACCATGGGCCGAATCCTTCTTCTGAAATCATTAGCAAAATGTCCATTAATTAAACAGGATGAGGATGGGGCCCTTCATGAACATGTTAGGGAAATTCCACTAGAATAATAGGATGGAAAACTCAACAGTGACACAAAAAAATAAATAAATTAAGATCAGCTAACCAACAATATCAGGCTGATATTTGGCATAATTGTCTCTATTTAGATGCATTTCTGTGTGTTTATGAAAAAAATATTTTTGTTCTGTTGCATTTACTTAAGTAAAATACTAACTGGAGAATGATGTAGTTGTTCTACAAATGTGTGATCACTCACAGCGCCAGGAAAGGCTGATAGATATCACCTTGGCAATTAGGCTGAGGATTCCTGTTCAAGAATCAGCATACTTGAAATAAAAAGGGGTTCAAAGCACTGGCCAAATTTTTTATGGAAGTTTCTGAAAGTTGCCCTTCCCTTGTGTGTTGCTTTACAGTAGGAGAAACTGAAAGGAGTTGTAGAAAACCAGGGCTGTTTGAACACTAGTTGCCATAACAACAGAGCAGTATTGGTATAATCACAGCTGCAATCATCTGCTGTTCCGTTCCCCAGGTAAACATGAAATTAAAAGTTTAATGTAAGTGAGGAAACCATGAGGTTGCAAATTAAATTCTCATTTTGTGAAAA